AAACTTATTTTTATTTTTAACAAAAAAATTTAGATTATTTTTAAATAATGAGAAAACATTTTTAATTATTTAATTATTTTAAAAAATTTAATCCACTAACCGTTTAAATTCTAATAGTTATCTATTAATCTGAAATTGAAAAATTAAAATTGTTAACTAACACTTAATTTATAGCAATTTTAAAATAAATAGTTTATTTGACATTTCATCTTAACAGTTTGGATAAAATATTAACCATTATCTCTAAATTATTATATCAAATGGGGCTTTAGTACCAATAAATAAAATAGGTCTATACAACAGAATATTTGTAAATACAAAATTAATTTATATAATTATATACAAAGCAACTAGACTTTATATACAATCAATTAAAGTGTGAACATACTAATTTAATATTCTAACACCCCAGCATGCTGCTATCTTGGCATAAAAACTAGTGATAGACTCACAGGTTCCTATTTTAAATTATGTAATTGTTCTCACAATTAATACTAACTAGATAAATCAGAAGTAGCATGCCTTGTTTCAAGCAAATCCCATACCTCCTTAGCTTTATCATCCCGTCCAAGCTGGAGGTGGATGGAAGGAATGGAGGAATTACATCACCAAGTAATGATCTAATGAATTTTGCTATTCTAGTCCTCTTAAGTGTTCCGCAAATTTCTCATCCATGCCTCACCGGTAACGACCTATGGAGGTTTAATATCACTTAACTTATATCGCCATAATTTTCGTCCTTCAAGAAACTAAGCATTCCTTGAACCCAGAGTAGGTGATTTGATCCACTAAGGATTGTGGAAATTGGTGGTGCTACATCGATCAGAGTTTTCCATAATGAGAAATAACCGAAAAGAGTTAACCATACAGCAAACGTGTTATCATTGTAAAACAGTAATTTAATATTCCAATGTTAATATAGAAGCATAATAAGGTTTCCAAAAAATCTTCCATGTAATATATATTTTTGTCTTGCAAGGCTGAGGTTACGGCAACACGAGCAGACTCGTCACTTGCACAACATGGCCAGTAATGGAATAGATAGTCCACTCACCGAACAAGCCATTAAGTTTGGGAAACTTAAGTTATTGAAGGAAGCCAATACAGATTCATTGCCATCAAACAAGCCATTAATTCGGAAGGTGCCGCATAAATTGGGCTTGCGCTACCGTACGGAGGATTGCCAACGATATTTCCAACCAACTTCTGTTGTGATCGGTCCCCTCAACCATCAAAGAGAGACTAAAAAACATTCGAGAATCCAAACAGGTGAGGATTGCAAGCTAAAACTGGCGAAAATGTTCATCAAGGAATGTAACGGCGAGGAGGAAAATTTCTACAAGAAGGTCGAGGAGGAGATAAAGAGCTTGAAGGACTGCTACTACTTCAAAGGACAGAATTGGACAGATGAGGAGTTGGCGTTTATGTTCCTAGTGGATGGCTGTGCATTGTTGCTTTTCATAGTCCTTTATGTGGACGATAGGTGGGAGGAATTCAGAGTAACTCATGGTCTAGTTGGGATTGCGGAGGTTGATTTTTTCTTACTTGAGAACCAGCTGCCCTACCAACTTCTTAAGATATTGATAGACTCGTCCGTTGAAGCCTCAAAAGATGATGATTTGAAGAGGTTATTCAAGGAATACATCACCGCCTTCGTCGATAAGAGTTTCTTGAATCTGACTGCGCCGCACCAACACCGAATTCAGGTTGATCATTCTCAGCCTCATCTTTCTCATGAGCAACAAGAAGAAGAAGAAGAAGACCCTGTTCATCTTCTAGACTTGTTGCGAACAAGACTGATGGGAGTCAAATCGAAGAAGAAAGAATGGACTAACAAATCTGGTTGGTTGCGTACAGAAATGAAAGGTAAGAGAAGCAGATACCGGTCTTCAATTGGCAACGTAAAGGAGCTGAAAGACCATGGTATTCGTTTTAAGGCGAGGGAAAAGGTAGATCCCTTCACAGAGATTGAATTTGATGACCGTTCTTGCAGGCCAATCCTTAGGCTGGCTCCCATTTTTTTGCACAATACCACCATGCCATTGTTGCTGAATTTGATGGCGTATGAGCTGTGTCCGGATTTCAAAGAAGATTGTAAGATCACCTCGCACTTGTCAGTCCTCGACTCCTTGATTGATAATAGCGAGGATGTGAAGGAACTGAGAGATGCAGGCGTGCTGCACCACGGATTAGGAAGCGATGAAGCTGTAGCGGAGCTGTTCAACAAGATCAGCAGCATCCTGGTGCCAAGTCTTAAGATGCACTCAGAATTGAGTCGTATCCATGAATACTGCAGCAAAAAATCACACCCCCGCAATCTATGTGCCAGATTCGTGGCTAAACTCACTGACACCTATTTTAGTAGTCCTTGGAACTTCTGGGTCTTCCTCGGTGCCTTAGCAGCTCTTATTATGACAGGAATCCAAACTTATAATAGCTTCAAGTGAAAGAAGCTCCCTAATGAGCTTTAATTACTGTATCTATTAATAGCGTTCTTAAAATATGTCTTAGGTTTCAATTGGGTTGGTAAAATAATTTTATATATTTTCTGTTGTTATTATTGTTATTATATTTGTGGTATTTATTATTGAATATTTATTATTATTATTTTATTTATATTAGTATTAATAAAGTCAATATTATTTTCCCTTTATTGTAGTCCCTATGGACTACACCGATAGCTAATAAGTTCGTTAGTATAGGATCCATTAGTACACATACTGACAATAAATAGTCATCAGTATTGTAATAGAAAGCTACAGAGACAGTTATTTATGACCAATGTCTTAAACTGTTTACTATAATGATGGATGTGATATACAGATGACAACACATTAGTATTCTGTCAGTAAATATTAAGATGTTTAGTGACACATTATTCGTGGGTTTATTTCTTAAGATATATTCGCGATTGTTTTTGCAATCTATTTGATAAGATTTATACTGATGCCCCTTCGTCCGTATAGCCTTTTTTTCAAAAAATGATAAGACTGCTGCATCTGGATCCCTTTACTGCCCAAATGCACAAACCAAATTTGATAAAATTCACAAATCCACTTGAATTGTTGTTGGAATGCACGAAACTTACTTCCATTAACTAAATAACAAGCATAATCCATCCAATAGAAACAAATTTGACAAAACAAACCGAACGTAATTCCATAAGTTCATAAATCTAATTGGCCAACACTTACACCAAGAATTGCAACAATTCTAACACATTTAACACATGTTTATGAAAAACGTAAAAAAACAAAATAAACCCCTCAAATGAACTGGAGAAGAAGAAGTCATGAACAAGAATTGCAACATTTTCACAAAAGAGTTAGATATCATAGTTTTAGCCTTTAAAGGAAGAATCACACTTTGTTTTCCTCTTCGTTCATTACACTTATCAATATAGATGTATAACCAAACTTAAATCAATGTGAGCATTTAATCAAATGGAGCATGGCTCTTGGGATATGCAATGATATAACATTCTTTGATTCATATCCCAAAATGTATTTGGACTGCATGCATACATCCATAAGTAAATTAGTGCAAGATAGCAAATTTTATTGAGAGGAATCAACAAAGAAAAGCAAATTAAATGGACCAACATCTAATGTTCTTTTTTTTTTTTTGTAA